ATACTTATTGTTGGTATAATGACTATTATAAATATCTGCCTTTTAATTAGCCGAAACAGAAATAGGATTTATTAGTTTGCTCTAATTTGAAATCTTGCCTATAAGACATGACCCTACATATTAATAATTTCAATTGAGTATTTTAATAATATCAATAATATGATTTGTTCATTATAATTATTGCTGTTGAATAATGAAGTAAATAAACTACTCCTGCCTTTGAATCGGCGACCGCATATGTTATGATTTCATTTGCAAAATTGATCACCTTTTACCCAAAGACACGCAGAAAGTTCATAGGTACGGTACTTTGGTTGCCGTCCGGTTAGTCAGAATATGCTCGATAGAACGACATGATTTCGGAGATATTTCTGGGAGAAGGGCGGAGCTATGCCGCATCAAAACGCCATAATTCCCGTGATATGTCATATGTCATTCCGCGCGGAATTATGTCGTTCTTTGAATAGCGGAGCTACGTCACATTAAAAAGACATACTTCCGAAGTTGGCGAGATTACTTCGTTTTAAGGCGACATCAATCCACCGATTTAAAAGGGAAATATGCCGTTTTTTACGACATATCTCCGCGCGTCCTTATTTGTAATTGTGCCGATCTTAGAAGTATAACGGCTAAGTAACATCAAATTTAAGAGACATATTGTTCGATAGCAAATGCAGAACGAGCTTATAGTTTTTTCATACCCTCAACCCATTAAAAATTGGAAAAAGGCGTCTAAAGTATTTGTGCAAATGTATGTTCGTCTGTCTGGCCGACTGTCCGCCCGTATGTCCCTATTAAAGCTAGAGTCTTGAAACTTGGAACGTAGGTCCCCCTAGTGCCTAGTGAAAACTTGCCCAGTTTCCAAGTAATCGCCCAAATCGTGTTTTTTTGAGCCAATATCTTAGGTTTTTAGAGCTCAAACTTGACATTTAGCTTCGAGAATAGGTCATAGTAAAGCATCATTCATTTTATAGCTATTGTCATCCCGCTATAACCACATAGCTATAAATCAAGTACCCATTTGTAATGACCACAAATTTAAGTCACAATTTTATTGCAATTATCTTTTTGAGAATACACGAATATACGATAGTACAATGAGATCTACTGTTGAAAATTTAATCAATATCGGTTAAGAAATACAGATGTTATTCAAGAAAATGTAGGGTTACGTGTGGTCTGTAGCAGGTTCGAGTATTATTGAGGGAACTATTTTCATCTTTTTTTTTAACATTAATTTTTACTACTGCCAAGGCACACGAGCACATACCGCGACCTGCATTTGGTGTTGGTAGAAAAGGGTTTAAGGGTATCCCCTAGTCGGGAACTCTAGACTAGAATCTCTTTCTTTTTTTTTTTATTTTGCAACATGATTTTTTAAGCATAAACTGGATTTTAGACATAACTTAGGTTTTCTTGTGTATTATGTAGTTATTAGGAATATTTCACTTTATTCTGCCCCCTCACGACCTGACTAAACTAAATTATTTATTTTTCTAATCTCTTCATACCCTTTTCATATTAAAACGTTCCATCGCAATAAGAAAATACATCAGTAGATTTGGTAAAGAAGTTTTTATTTCAATGTATGTTTAGACGGAACCGGCGTTGTTGACCACCCAGGAGCGGAGATCAGCCACATTGGCGTAGACACCAGGATAGTTGGCGTAGGCGCAGCCATAACCCCAGGAGACGACACCAACGAGCACACCACCGGACACCAGTGGGCCACCAGAGTCACCTTGGCAGGCATCCTTGCCGCTGGCGGCGGCGCAGATCATGGAGCTCTTGATCTCGCTACCATAGCCGTAAGTGGAGGAAGCGCACACGGACTGGCTGACAATGTTCACGTTCACGTACTGCAGTGTTGTCGGAATAGAGCTGGAGCCATACGACTGGGTACCCCAGCCAGAGACGGAGGCAGAAGCGCCGTTAGCGGGAGCAGAGCTAGCCAGACCGATAGCCTTGATGGTCGAGCTTAAGGCCAGAGAAGAGCTCAGACGGATGACAGCAATATCGTTGACCATGGTGTTGGCGTTGTATCCTTCGTGGTTCCTGAAGGCGGCGACCTGGACCAGGGTGCCACCAGAGTTCCAGTAGGTGGAACCGGCGCGCACCTTCAAGCTGGAGGCAGACACAGATTGCAGGCAGTGAGCAGCAGTCACAATGATGTTGGCAGAGTAGACAGAACCACCGCAGGAGTGGCTGCCACTACGCTGCAGCGAGATTTGCCAGGGGAAGCTGCTGATGGTGGTGGCGCTGCCGCCAACGATGCGTCCATCCAGCTGGGGCAGGAGACCCTCAGGAAGAGCGGCACCAAAGGCGCAGGCAACAACCGACAACAAGATCACGAACTTGAACATATTGACTCAACAATGTGCCCCACTTGGCAATGCCTTCGACTTTTATAGTGCTCCGAGCTGTCTACTATCTCCAGCTAATCAAAAGTTTTCAATCCGTTTTATCAGATAGCTGCCACAAAAACGAAGAAACAGTGCTCGCCCCTGTTAAAAAGAGGAAAAACCCACAGAAGCTTCAACGTCAGCTGATAGCGAAAGGAGTGGATTTTTATAATAATTTTCATTTAGATACTTATTGTTGGTATAATGACTATTATAAATTTCTGGATTTTAATTAGCCGAAACAGAAATAGGATTTATTAGTTTGCTCTAATTTGAAATCTTGCCTATAAGACATGACCCTACATATTAATAATTTCAATTGAGTATTTTAATAATATCAATAATATGATTTGTTCATTATAATTATTGCTGTTGAATAATGAAGTAAATAAACTACTCTTGCATTTGAATCGATGGCCTCTCATTTTGTAGTCCGATGTTTAAACATCAAAGCCGCACATATTATAACTTAATTTTTGCCTGCAAAATTGACGTCCTTTTCAGCCCACTTGGAGGTCTAAATTACCCTTAAGGTATCTGTTTACGAACCAAAAGAAGACTCGCAGACAGCCTAAAAGTCAGGACCAGCTCGGCATAACGGCATGATTCCGGAGATATTTCCCGGTAAATGCCGGAACTATGCCGCAATAAAATGACAAAATTCTGTGCGGAGATATGTCACTCCGCGCACTTTGTCGCGCGGAACTATGTCGTTTTTTAACGTCATATCTCAGAACGCATATGAGCTAGAGACTTGAAAATTGGAACTTAGGTTCGCCTGTACCCGTGTTGTACGAATTTGTTGCCGGTAATCGGAAATATCGTGTTACTGAGCAAATATCTTAGAAGTTCAAACCTGATATGTAGCTTATAGAATACTAAATATATATCAAGTGTCTTTCATTTTATAGCTATCCCGCTATCACCACATAGCTATAAGTCAAGTACCCATTTGTAATGCCCACAAATTAAAGTTACAATTTTATTGCAATTATCTTTTTGAGAATACACGAATATTCTATAGTACAATAATGTTGAAAATTTAATCAAGATCAGTTAAGAAATACAGATGTCATTAAGAAAATGTAGGGTTATATTATGTGTGGTCTGTAACAGGTTCGAGTCTTTTTGAGGACTTTTTTTTTTTTTTTTTTTTTTTGTAATGTGTACTACTGCCAAAGCAAACGAGACCTGCATTCAGTGTTGGAAGGAGAGGGCTCAGGGTATCCCAGTCGATGGACCCCTCTTACTGATTTCATTTTGCAACATGATTTTTTAAGCATAATATTAAATCTCATATCTCTTAGGAATATTTAACTTTTGAAATTTTTGAAATTATTTATTTTTCTAATGTCTTGATCATCTTTTCACGTAAAAAAGTTCCTCCGCAGCAAGAAAAAACTTCAGTAGATTTTGAAAAGAAGTTTAGATAGAGCCGGCGTTGATTACCACCCAGTTGCGGAGGACAGCAACATCGGAGTACACACCTGGGTACTTGCTTAAAGCACAGCCATAGCCCCAGGAGACGATACCAACGAGCACACCACCGGATACCAGTGGGCCACCAGAGTCACCCTGGCAGGCATCCTTGCCGCTGGCGGCTGCGCAGATCATGCTTCTCTTGATCTTGCTACCATAGTCGTAAGTGGAGGAACCGCACACGGCCTGGCTGACAATGTTCACGTTCACATACTGCAGGGTGGGTGGAATAAAGATGGAGCCATACGACTGGGTACCCCAGCCAGAGACGGAGGCAGAAGCGCCGTTAGCGGGGGCAGAGCTAGCCAAATCGATAGCCTTGATGGTCGAGCTTAAGGTCATGGAAGAGCTCAGACGGATGACAGCAATATCGTTGACCATGGTGTTGGCGTTGTATTCTTCGTGGTTCCTGAAGGCGGCGACCTGGACTAGGATGCCACCAGAGAACCAGTAGGTGGAACCGGCGCGCACCTTCAAGCTGGAGGCGGATACGGATTGCAGGCAGTGAGCAGCAGTCACAATGATGATATCAGAGTAGACCGAACCACCGCAGGAGTGGCCGCCATAACGCTGCAGCGAGATTTGCCAGGGGAAGCTGCTGATGGTGGTGGCGGTGCCGCCAACGATGCGTCCATCCAGCTGGGGCAGGAGACCCTCAGGGATCGCAGCACCAAAGGCGCAGGCAACAACCGACAACAAGATCCCGAACTTGAACATATTGACCTAACACTGTGACCCTCTTGGAAATGTCTACGATTTTTATAGTACTCCAACCGTCTACTATCTCCAGCTAATCAAGAGCTTTCAAATTACTTTATCAGAAAAAAAAAGAAGAAAAAAGACTCTGATGAAAAGAAAATATTCCATAGAAGGTTCAACGCTCGAAAGAAATTGAATTTTGTCATAATTATTTCACCAAATGTGCAACTCTTGGAGGGGACAAAGTTTGAATCTTCAAAGGAGATTGTATTTTCTTTACTGGATTCAGCAGTCGGAACGATATAGACAGTTTCTAAAGATTTTGCTTAAGTTTTAAAAAACTTGATGATGTGTAGCGTAGTTGATAGTTCATCAGCTTTGCAGTTGAAATGCTTCTTCCCCATTAGGAAAATACATAAGTAGCTATTAAAATCAGTTTTTATTTCAATATGTTCTTAGATTGAGTTGGAGTTGTTGATCACCCAGTTGCGGAGGACAGCAACATCGGCGTAGACACCTGGGTAGTTGCTGTAAGCACAGCCATAGCCCCAGGAGACGACACCAACGAGCACACCACCGGACACCAGTGGGCCACCAGAGTCACCCTGGCAGGCATCCTTGCCGCTGGCGGCGGCGCAGATCATGGTGTTCTTGATCTGGCTACCATAGCTGTAGGCGGACGAGGCGCACACGGATTGGCTGACAATGTTCACGTTGACGTACTGCAGCTGGGTGGGGATGGAGCTGGAGCCGGAAGACTGAGTACCCCAGCCAGAGACGGAGGCAGAAGCGCCGTTACGGGGAGCAGAGCTGGCCAGACCGATAGACTTGATGTTGGAGGTGAAGGACAGGGCAGAGGACAGCTTGATGATGGCAATGTCGTTGACCATGGTGTTGGCATTGTATCCCTCGTGGTTCCTGAAGGCGGCAACCTTGACGACAACGCCACCGGAGTTCCAGTAGCTGGAGCCGGCGCGAATCTGCAGGCTGGAGGCGGACACGGACTGCAGGCAGTGAGCAGCGGTCACAATGATCTTGGAGTTGTAGATGGAACCACCGCAGGAGTGGCCGCCATTACGCTGCAGGGAGATCTGCCAGGGGAAGCTGCCGATGGTGGTGGCAGTGCCGCCAACAATGCGACCATCCAACTGGGGCAGGAGACCCTCAGGGATCGCAGCACCGAAGGCGCAGGCAACAACCGACAACAAAATCACGAACTTGAACATATTGCTCGTACAATGTGGTTATGATAATATGCTCGCGCTTATATAGGCCGGGCGGGACACCACTCCATACTAACGTTAGTATGTACTATATTATCAATCAGTTCTAATCCAAAGTATCACGCGTGGCCTGAGTAAGTATATAAGAATATCAGAACAATGAACGTTAGATTCTTGAGTGCTTCACAATAACATCCGGCTAAACACATAAGAACCACTCGAGAATGGCATGAAAAGATTTTGGCGACTGTGATAGGAATTTATAGTGCAAGTGCTTATTCTAAAAATGTGCTAAGAATTATTTTGGTTTGAACCAAATATCACAACAACCAACAACCTGACTATCTACTATATATGTTCGCAATTTTTAAATTCAAATAGACTTTATAACGAGCCTCTTTAATATTCTATGTTACAGCCACGAATGGTGCTCGATCATATCAAATATAACTTGTATAACGTATCCATAGTTTTATATATGTATATATATATATGCATATATAATAAAGCTGTCGCTCATGGCATTCTCTTTTTGAACAGTTTAAGAATAATATTGATTAAGCTTTCAGAGGAACTATAAAGGCACTGTTGGGTGGCTAAGAAAAACAATACATATTTTTCTGCCTGAAAAAAAAGGGTATTACGTTTAACAATTAAACAATAAAACAATAAGCAAAGCACAAGCTTTGCTTATCTTGAAAACGCTTTTTCTTTGAAATACTTTACCATTTGCAAATACAAAATGCCCCACTAATTAAAAATCTTAAAATAAAAAATATTTTATCATTAGATATTCCAATGAACTTTATCTGTGTGTTCCCTTTTAATCTAGCTAAAAGTTTAAGCAAACACAATTTGTTAAATAAAAATTAACCAACACAATATAAATTTAACTAATTTTTTTTTTCTATTTTAACAATTATTATGCTAGCCCATGTTTGGTTCTGTTTATAAGCTACAAAGAAATGTTACGCAATTTATGAAGCATACTTTTTGGAGCCTAGAAAAGGTTTTTATGCCTCGCATGAGCTGTATAAGCAGAATAAATTTGTAATCCGTTAAAAATGTGTATAAATGCTTGGCTTTGCGATTCACGGGCCGAGGCAACGCCATGGCTTTCCAATTTCATGAGCCCTGGGTTTGGTTTAAGCATGCTTAACATTTTTCAAAAGAACAATTCATTTGATCTCTATGTATAAAACTCTTTGTCCTGACTGACTATTTGACTGGCTGACCGACTTATCGACTGACTGATTGGTGTTCAACGCACAGCCCAAGCTAGGAAGCTACAATTTTTGTTTACCATCCGATTGGCAATAAATTCAATTTCAAAGATCTTTGCTCAAATTCATTTGGGGATTGTTTTGGGAAAATCCATCCCTCCTTGGTGGAAATGGGGATCAAAGATTAGTTGGACGATGTGTGTCAAAGGTTTAATAAATGAAAGTTTATTCTTCAACTTTTATATTCTCACTGCAATACTAACATGAGGGGAAACCGTCTATTCTTTATTTAACGCATTGAAAAATATTTTTAAAATAGAAGTGAAAATAAAGATGGGTAGATTTCGATTTCCACGGGCAAGGTATTATCTTAAATTTCTACGGCTTCTGCGGCTTATTTCATTAAGGCTTCAAACATTAATATATATGCACATTTCTTTAATTTTAAGGAGCGACTCGGAAACAAGAAGTTTGAAACAATTAAGGTGATGCAATATTTGTATGCTTCACACTTTTTATCATATAAGAACAACCTAACTGAATCTCAGTCAGTTGTATCCACGAGAAACAAAGAAACCATTACAAATAAGCAAAGAAAGAGAATAGTTTTAAACTCATGATTTTATTTTGCAATGTTCTTAGATTGAGTTGGAGTTGTTGATCACCCAGTTGCGGAGCACAGCAACATCGGCGTAGACACCTGGGTAGTTGCTGTAAGCACAGCCATAGCCCCAGGAGACGACACCAACGAGCACACCACCGGACACCAGTGGGCCACCAGAGTCACCCTGGCAGGCATCCTTGCCGCTGGCGGCGGCGCAGATCATGGTGTTCTTGATCTGGCTACCATAGCTGTAGGCGGAAGAGGCGCACACGGATTGGCTGACAATGTTCACGTTGACGTACTGCAGCTGGGTGGGGATGGAGCTGGAGCCGGAAGACTGAGTACCCCAGCCAGAGACGGAGGCAGAAGCGCCGTTACGGGGAGCAGAGCTGGCCAGACCGATAGACTTGATGTTGGAGGTGAAGGACAGGGCAGAGGACAGCTTGATGATGGCAATGTCGTTGACCATGGTGTTGGCATTGTATCCCTCGTGGTTCCTGAAGGCGGCAACCTTGACGACAACGCCACCGGAGTTCCAGTAGCTGGAGCCGGCGCGAATCTGCAGGCTGGAGGCGGACACGGACTGCAGGCAGTGAGCAGCGGTCACAATGATCTTGGAGTTGTAGATGGAACCACCGCAGGAGTGGCCGCCATTACGCTGCAGGGAGATCTGCCAGGGGAAGCTGCCGATGGTGGTGGCAGTGCCGCCAACAATGCGACCATCCAACTGGGGCAGGAGACCCTCAGGGATCGCAGCACCGAAGGCGCAGGCAACAACCGACAACAAAATCACGAACTTGAACATATTGCTCGTACAATGTAGTTATGATAATATACTCGCGCTTTTATAGCAATCCGAGGTGTTTGCTATCTCCCAAAAGCGTAACTTATCTTAACTATTTGATTAATTTTACGCGAATAGGAAAAAAATTGAGCAAAAAAAATCCCATTAAACTGTTAAGTGGTGAACGTCAAGATTTGACTGATCACACCATCTCTTTGAGATATCTAAGTTGGACTGGAATATTACAAGTACCTACAATTCCGTGGGAGTTTTACTATAAAACGGCGGTGTCTGCAGGTAGTTGGATTATAACGCAGCAATATGTTGAAATTCGTGGTACTTCTTTCCCTGGCCGCTTGTGCCTTGGCCGGCACCGTGCCGGAGGGCCTCCTGCCCCAGTTGGATGGCCGCATTGTTGGTGGCTACGAGACCAGCATCGATGATCATCCCTATCAGGTGTCGCTGCAGCGCAATGGAGCTCATTTCTGCGGTGGTTCCATCTACTCTGGTGATATTGTGGTCACCGCCGCCCACTGCCTGCAGTCGATCACTGCTGAAGAGCTGAAGGTGCGTGTAGGTACCACCTACTGGCGTTCCGGTGGCAGCGTGCACTCGGTGCGTTCTTTCAGAAATCATGAGGGCTACAACTCCAAAACCATGATCAACGATGTTGCCGTTATTCGCATGTCTTCTTCGGTCAGCTTCCGCTCAAACGTTCGTGCTATTGGTCTTGCTGAATCTAACCCTCGCAATGGCGCTGAGGCTGTTGTCTCTGGCTGGGGCACCACCGAGTCCGGTAGCTCTACCATTCCCGATCATCTGCTGGCTGTGAACCTGAGGATCGTTGATCGTGAGGAGTGCGCCTCCAAGGAGTTCAGCTATGGTAGCAAGATCAAGGACACAATGATCTGTGCCTATGCCGAGCACAAGGATGCCTGCCAGGGTGACTCCGGCGGCCCATTGGTCTCTGGCGGTCGTCTTGTCGGCGTTGTGTCTTGGGGCTATGGCTGCGCTGATGTCAAATACCCCGGTGTCTATGCTGATGTCGCCCACTTCCGTAGCTGGATCGAGAAGACCGCCGACGAGCTCTAAGCTCAAACCCTTGACAATTCCTCAATAAACTGCGTACATTCAAGTTGAACGTCTTTCATTTGTCATTTCCCAATGTGTGTAATCCGCTAAGCTCTTGAGTCGACCACTGATAACGGCTCGCCTAGGGCATTATAAAAACACCGGGCGAAGCATTGTAACCCAAGCATTTCCCAATTACGTTTGATATGTTCAAGTTTGTGATTTTGTTGTCAGTCGTTGCCTGCGCCTTCGGTGCTGCAGTTCCCGAGGGTCTGCTGCCCCAGCTGGATGGACGCATCGTTGGCGGCACCGCCACCACCATCAGCAGCTTCCCCTGGCAAATCTCGCTGCAACGTAATGGCGGCCACTCCTGCGGTGGTTCGGTCTACTCTGCGAAGATCATTGTGACGGCTGCTCATTGCCTGCAATCCGTGTCCGCCTCCAGCTTGAAGGTGCGCGCTGGTTCCTCTTACTGGAACTCTGGCGGCAGTCTGGTTCAGGTTGCCGCCTTCAGAAACCACGAAGGATACAATGCCAACACCATGGTCAACGATATTGCTGTCATCCGCCTGAGCTCTTCACTCTCCTTCAGCTCGACCATCAAGGCTATTGGTCTGGCTACTTATAATCCTGCCAATGGTGCTTCCGCTGCTGTCTCTGGCTGGGGTACTCTGTCCTCAGGCTCCAGCTCAATTCCCAGTCAGTTGCAGTATGTGAACTTGAACATTGTCAGCCAGTCCAAGTGCGCCTCCTCCAGCTATGGTTATGGCAGTCAAATCAGAAGCACCATGATCTGCGCCGCCGCCAGCGGCAAGGATTCCTGCCAGGGTGACTCTGGTGGCCCACTGGTGTCCGGTGGTGTGCTTGTTGGTGTCGTCTCCTGGGGCTATGGCTGTGCTTACAGCAACTATCCTGGTGTCTACGCCGATGTGTCTGTGCTCCGCTCCTGGGTGGTCAGCGCTGCCAACTCGATCTAAATAGATCGGTCAAACGATTTTATAATATCTTCAATAAAAATCTTAGCAAATGAAAAAAATCCCTCCCCATTAAATTTTGCTTCCGGGTCAATTGTCGGGACAATGACGTGCGTCGCTTATCGTCAGGGAATATCAGCTAAATTACAAACGGTTATGAATGATTTTTTATCTGGAGAGCTTGCTAAAGGGCCATCAGTTTGTCTAGTTATTATCTAGTTATGACTCTTAGCTGTCTCAAGTGGAAGCTTGCGAAAACGCTTCAGCCACCCAGATACGATGAGCTGATGTCCACCATTACGTGCGCTTTTATCTAATCGGCATGGAGTGGGACACACGCCAGAAATAACAAAGTTTGCGACTAGATGACTAGTTGAAATCACTAACTATTTTAAATGATAGCTGTGCGACAGCTGATACCGAGCATGTGCTGCATCCTGCGTTGGACGTGGGCCGTTAACTTTGCCACATCAAGATTAGTTGACCACAGCTCTAGTGTCTGATATGATAGATGGGCTTTGGGTAGAACAGCTGTCGTTATTCGACAGACTTAAGTTTTAGTACGGCTCCTTGTTACATCTTGCCAAAGAAAATTAGTAGGCTCTTCATGAGAATGGAATAATAGAATAATACGATCCACTCTTTCTCCATACTTCAACATGAGTTTGAACAGCCTTGACCTCATAATTCCAATTATTTTTTACCGAAAATAAAATCATTAATAAATTTTACTTTAAAAACAAAAAGTAAAGTGGAGGGTTCCCTCAGTTTGTTTTCTTTGTACCTTCTGAATTTATTTATAATAAAATTTATTGCGGTTGATAAGTTTGTTTTTAATTAAAATTCTTGAAAAAATTGCGCATATCAACGATGAAGCGCTAGATAATACCACGTTCTGCGCATATAATTTATGATACTACAAAATTCTACACAAAAGAAAGCAAATTTTGAAGAATAGGTTAAATAACCAAAATTAGCGCAATTCAAGCAAATTATATCGAAAATATCTATGTCAAAATACATTGGTATTACACACTTGATTACTAACAAAAAATTCATGGCAAGAGTCAGACAGACGGGTGTGTTTCTTAAGAACAGCGAAAACCCCGATATTTTACCATATTAGTGCTCAATAGACTATAACAGATAGTGCCACATATGACAATAAAGGCATAAAACGCTTATTGGGTCTTATGAGTAGTCACTGCGCAGATTTACTCAAGACAAAAACAAAACCGCCAAAGTTACGAATTCACATTTCGAATGGTGTCTTTGACAGATAACAAGTCGAACAAGGCAGAAGATAACCATGGTCAGAACTGGGTTCGTTTTGCAAGCCCATTGATTCGGGTTGGGCTCTTTAAAGTGAATGCAGAAGGCTATATTATGCATGCTTATAACGGGAGTTAAGGTATTAGACTAACCAATAGTGGTTGCCTGACTGTGAGTATACCCTGTACAAGGTTCTCAATTGCTCAAAATATTGTACACAGATCCATAGAACATATTAACCGAAGATATTTTCATGAAAATGTGCTGCAATCGGTTGATGACCAGTTTTGCAGGATGTCACAAGAACTTTCTTATACCCTAATCAATACAGGGTATAAAATGCAGAAATTTCTGATAATGTCAAATATTAAGCACTTGCTGTAAGAATTTTAGCTAAAGTCCATCAATCACACAGTAAAAGACTCGGAAACTAACTAATATAAATAAAGGCCTTTGGGGCTAGCCGTTATTAGTTTCTGGACAACATGCAGGGTCTTGAAGCGTTGTTGCTCTGCCTGGTGGTTGGCACCACAGTGGCCGGCACTATCAGTCCAGCACCCAATCCCTTTGAGCGTGAGGGCCGCATTGTGGGTGGCGAGGACACGACCATTGAGGCGCATCCCTATCAGGTTTCGCTGCAGAAGAAAAGTGGCTCTCACTTCTGTGGTGGCAGCTTGATTAGCCACAATTTGGTGGTTACTGCTGCTCACTGCCTGCAGGGCATCAAGGTGTCCAGCATACGAGTGCGTTTGGGCTCAACCCGCTACAACGAAGGTGGTTTGCTCGTCACCGTCGAAAGTTTGGTGTACAACGATCAGTACAACAGCCAGACACTGGCTAACGATGTGGGTCTGCTCAAGCTGGCGGAGAGTGTGGCCGAATCGGAGTCTATACGATATATACCATTGGCTGAGGTAACACCGCCAACAGGCAAACCGGCAGTGGTCACGGGCTGGGGCACCAAGTGCTACTTCTGGTGCATGTCCCTGCCGAAGACCCTTCAGGCTGTCGTTGTCTACATCGTGGATTGGAAGACGTGCGCCTCCGATGAGTACAAATACGGGGAGATTGTTTTGGACACCATGGTCTGTGGCTATGAGAAGGACAAGGATGCCTGCCAGGGTGATTCCGGCGGACCCCTGGTGGCCAACAATCAGCTGGTGGGCATTGTGTCCTGGGGCTACGGCTGCGCCGGCAAGCTGCTGCCTGGTGTCTACGCCGATGTGGCAGCTTTGCGCAGTTGGATCGAGGAAAACGCCAAAACTTTGTAAATCAAATCACAAATCACTTTGAATAAAATAAGGAAATTGATAACAAAATAATTATAGATCGATTGGATTGAAGAACCGAACCTTTTTTGAGAGTATCTTATTATATTAAGTATAAAGCTCAATGCGGTATGTTTATAGGAACGAGCTTTTAAAGCTCCAGTTGCAAGCTTTATGAAACCCAAATCAGAGTGGAAAATATGCTCTTCGGGTAGGTTATCTGCCAAAGTTTATACTTTATATACTTTTTTTACCCATTTTATTTTACTGATAATCCATTTAGATTCATGTTTGGTCATTTGAAGAAGTTTTATTGTCAAAACCAAGGATATATAGCTTTGTCCATTATTTGATCCTTTGGTAGTCGTTCTTCGTTCTCAGATGTATTTGAATTTTAGCACTCTAAGCTTTCACGGAAATTTTAAAAATCTTGCCACTGAGGACCTTCTTGAAAACGGAACCCAATATTTTTAGGGCCACGCCCACCCCACCATCTTAAATAGCGAGGATCAATAAATTGTTCAAGCTTAAATAACAAAAACTTAGAAAGACTTTTTTCGGGATCTATTCAAAAAGAATTTTAGAACGAATTGGGGAAATCCATATATTTTACAGTTTTATATTTAAGTCGGGAGTAGCAACAGTATCTGCTGCAGTTCTATATCTGATGAGCTCTACTTAAGAGCGATTCATATTTTGCCTATGCCCCATATCTATTAATAAGCTCCGCGGGTCTTTAGATGTTATGGGAGTGTGAACGAGTATTGCGCAGTCGGTTGTACGCGACTGAAGCAATATGATAACAAATATTTTTATTATATTCTTTGTTTTTTTTTTGGTAACAACTAATCTTGGCCATGAATAATATTACATTAATGCTTAACCCGATTCCACGAACTTTCACTGCGCATTATCGTGCGCCTTATCGGGCAATTAATAAATCGGTTTATTGTCGGGCTAAATACCGCTGCTGATACCTACCGCTGTCCGAGTCGGACCTAGTGTCCAGTTAGTCTTTGGTGAAACATTGAAATGGAAAACGCTTTGCTCGCAGTCGTCGTCGTCGTGGGGCTGCTGCTGGCCGGCAGCTGCAGCTGCCGCGACAGCTCGCAACTGGCGCCGGACGGACGCATCGTTGGAGGCGAGGTCATCTCTGCCTATTATCTGCCGTATCAGGTATCAGTGCGCCGACGAAACAGCGCTCGGAGCGCCTATGCCCACTCCTGTGGTGGCGCTCTGCTGGACGAGCGCACGGTCCTGACCGCCGCACATTGTGTGTACAATCGACAGGAGGAGAATTTCCTGGTGGTGGCCGGAACTGAGCTGCGTGCTGGCATGGATGGTGGTGTCGTCTCCCGCGTGGAGAGGCTAGTGCCACATGAGCTGTACAATGCCTCCATAACGGATAATGATATTGCGCTGATCTTTGTCACACCGCCCTTTCCCCTGGACAGCCAACGCAAAATTGCGACCATTGAGGTGGGCCCAGAGCTGCCGCCCGTGGGCACATTGGCCACCGTCTCAGGCTGGGGCATGACCACAGAGGATGGTTTCGGCTCCACACAGCTACGGCAGGTGCAGGTGCCACTGGTGGACAGAGAGGTGTGTCAGACCGCCTACAATTGGCGCCCCATTACCGAGGGAATGCTCTGCGCCGCAGCGTCTGGCGGCGGCAAGGATGCCTGTCAGGGTGACAATGGCGGACCGCTGGTCGTGGACAACAAGGTTGTCGGCATTGTGTCCTTTGGCGAGGGCTGTGCACGTGCCCAGTATCCGGGCGTTTATGCCGCCGTGCCGTATTTCCAGGAATGGATTGCCGAGCAACGCGCGGCATATGCCTGATTAACAAATGATTGCACGTTGGCCGTAAAAGTAGTATTTAACTTTATCGCCTATGTTATATGTATCCAGTAAAGTTTATATGGCAGCCAGTTAAATGATCTAATCTTCGATGACCGGCGTTGATAAGTGGTCTTACCCTATTGCTCGTAATCGGGCACTTTGGGTCTGGTCTGGTCAGTCTTTCAGCTGTTGTTCAACATGGTACACGCGCTGCTGCTTGGCCTTTGCCTTGGCCTTTGGGTCTGTGCCTGGGCACATCCGCTGCAGGAACTCGATTTGAGTTCGCCCAATGGACGCATTGTGGGCGGCTATGAGACGCACATTGCCCTCTATCCGCATCAGATTTCGCTGCGTCGCAAGGCAATTACCGCACCAAAGAATCCCTTTTCACATATCTGCGGCGGCTCCATAATTGCCGAGGACATCATTGCAACGGCGGCGCACTGCATCATTGCCACGGTCCCAAGTCAGTATAAGGTGGTCGCTGGCACCAGTCGCCGCAATGACAGCGACGGCATCATTGTCTCCGTCTCCGAGATCATCATGCACGAAAAGTACAACCCGTCCACCTATGATAATGATATTGCGCTGCTGCGCTTGAGTTCGCCGCTGCCGTTGAACAACTTTACAATCCAGGCGATTGAGCTGGCCAGCACGGACGCGACACCAGGTGCCATAAGCACTATCACTGGCTGGGGCACCACCAGTGCCGGCGGCACGGCATCCGATCAATTGCGCGCCGTCGATGTGCCCATTGTCAGCAATGAGCTGTGCGATGAGGATTATGGTGGCAATCGCATAACGGCAGGCATGCTGTGCGCGGGTGTGCGCGGCGTTGGTGGCAAGGATGCCTGCCAGGGTGATTCTGGTGGTCCGCTGATCATTGGCAACAAGCTGCATGGCATTGTCTCCTGGGGCAACTCTTGCGCCTTGCCCACACATCCGGGCGTCTATGCCAAGGTCTTTTATTATCTCGATTGGATCGCGTCCAAGTTGCCTTGAACCCGTTCTAGCATTAGAAAACCTTAAGAATTCGAGCATCCAATTGTGTCACATGCCTGAATAAACTTGTAATTGTCGCCCAATTGGTCGTGTTTGATGACTTATCATTTTCCATTTAATCAGCTAAGATTAGGGCAATATTAATACAATAGGGTTCGTTTTTGGTGTAAGGCTTTGATTGCCCTTATCTAGATTACGGGTGCTGCTTATAAGATTACCAAACCTTGAAAAACCCCAATTGAATAACTCACTAGGCATGTTAACTATTTCTTTTGGCATTGCTTAAATCGATTGCCAAAAGTATGCAATACAAATTGAGCAATGCCCGCGAAGCACGGTTAGATCGATATATTTTTTGAAAATCGATTAAAACTAGCCGGAATAGCGTAAATTTAATCTGAGTATCTCAGTGAATGAAATGAAAGAAAAAAATATGATGAAACATAACGAAATCTTGAAGAATTCTAAATAAGCTAGATTAGGTAGAATTGAATCTAATTAAAAAAGGTTTGTTAATAAGACAACATATTTCGGGATAGTTAGGGAATTTTGAACAATACTTACAAAAAACGGAATAAAGAAAAGGAATAAACTAGCTAGATATAAAGCGTATCTAAAAAAAATTAAATAAAATAATTCGGATTAATAAGAGATAACGTGAAATCTGCATTCTTGAAAGACGAGTCTTTTCCATATACAAAATATTTTGTATACAATATGAAATGTGTGACATATGCGAACTTTTTCAACTTCGCGTTAATTTAGTAAAGTTTCGTGAACCTCTACGTACGTAGCACAAACTAATCCAAAATCGTTTAAAAGCTTAAACTAAAATAAACGTAACGATGAGCGTAAACAGTGTTAAGACGTAGCATATCAGATATTGGCAGTTCCATTCACTTGCAGTTGCCATTGGAGCTTCGTTATCAGGTCGGACCCTGTACACGGGCCTATCTCTAACAGCGGCTATTAGGCTAATCTGGCCGAATACCATTGGAAAAATGCAAACGGCTAAAACTATACGCCTATAAAATATAATTAGTTCGATATGTGCCGATCGCTCGAGCAGATGCCAAATAGGAGGAGAAACATGGATATTTTACGGTTCAGCCTGATGCTGCTCTTCGCGCTGGCAGCTGTTGCTTGGGCCTCTGAGGTGCGTCCCGAGGCGCGCATCATCAATGGCTCCAAGGTGGACATAGCCCGCCATCCGTATTGCGTTTCGCTGCGCTTTCGGCGCAACAACGAATCCGCTTACCTGCACGAATGTGCGGGTGTCATCTACTCGGAACGAGCGGTTCTGACCGCCGCTCAGTGTCTGGATGATCTGGCCGAGGGCACCAAGCTGCTGGTGCTTGCTGGCGCCAATACCCGCAATGGCAGTGACGGATTGGTCTATCCCGTCACCAGCTGGAGTTACCATCCAAATTTCAGCACCATCACTGCAGACTATGACATTGGCGTGCTCGTGCTGGATACACCCTTTGATCTCAACTACTATGGCATACGCAAAATTGGATTGCGTCCGGAACGCCCTGCCACTGGACGGAATGCCACTGTGGTTGGCTGGGGCTATCGCGAGGAATGGGGTCCCTCCAGTTATTATCTGGAGCAGGTGCATGTGCCCATCGTTAGCTCGGAACAGTGTAATAGTATCTATGGTGCTGGTGAGGTTACCGAGCGCATGATCTGCGCTGGTGATGTGGCCCAAGGTGGTCGCGATGCCTGTCAAGGAGACACGGGCGGTCCATTGATCATAGACGAACAGCTGGTGGGTCTTGTCTCCTGGGGTCGTGGCTGTGGCCGCCCTGGCTATCCCACAGTTTATACGTACGCTCCCAGCCTTAAAACGTGGATCGATGAAACTCTGGAGGCCGCCGGAGCGCTATAAATATAGTCTGATAGCCGCTATCAAAAGTGGTTAAACACGCTAATTATGTAGCTTTCCTTTACCAATTTACCGCCCATTTAATAATAAAACAAACTATTTACTACCTAGTGCATACAATTTGGTTACGCCGAGGAGCGACCGGAGAGAAGGTGAACATTTCTCTTAATTGGGAATACTGTCCAAATAAGCTGAGCGCTTTGAGAAGAGGCATCTTTGGTTATCTTATCTACATCAAGCGTCCACTCGCGGACAGCTGGAATAAAAATCAAATTCCACTTAAATCTTAATCAAAACAAAGACAGTGAAAAATATTGATTTGCACTCTCGTAGGGTAATGTTAACGGCCGTTGCTTGTGCACTCTCGAAAGCTGACTGCTATAGACATGCTTGACGAAGAAACATTTAGCGTTTGATCGAACAAGCAGTTTTTGGCGATAGTTGTTAAACATTCAAAACATCGCAACGGCTTTTTAAGTGTGTGGATCACAGCATGTATTATTCATTCGTCTTTAATACCTGTTATCAGTTAATACTGGTAAGGCCCACAATCAAAGATTAGATCACAGTCAGTTTATTATATTTACAAGTTCTTAGATTATGCCAGAGTTGACCATTTATAGAAAATCAATACTACCCACATTGGCCTTGGAATTACGAGTAGCCAGTATCCATTCGCGCAATTCGGGCACGGCAGCATAAACGCCAGGATATTTGGCACGCGCACAGCCTGTGCCCCACGAAACAATGCCCAACAGCTCATTGTTGTAGATTAGCGGACCGCCCGAGTCGCCCTGACAGGCATCCTTGCCGCCGCCATCGACGCCGGCGCACAGCATGCGACCGGTTAGCATAATGGAATACGAGCTCTTACATTGAGCGTTCTCAACCAAATTGACTTCCACTTGCTGCAGTATGTTGGATATAACACCGCCTTCACTGGTCGTGCCCCAGCCGGTTACAATGACGGGCGTGCCATGCTCCGGACGCTCCTTGGCCAGTTCGATGGGATGCACAGATTCATTGAACTCGAAATCGCCATCCAACACTAGAACGGCGGCGTCATAGTCCTGATACAGGGACTTGTACTTCTCGTGTATGATAATTTCGCGTACCGCCAACTCCTGGCCTTCTGGCCAGATTGTTTGGGTGGTACCAGCTATGATCGTCAGATCAGCCACACCTGACAGCGTATTCACGCAATGAGCAGCGGATACAATGATGTTGCTGGCAATTATTGAGCCTCCGCATCTATGATTTCCCCTGTACCTCATGGATATTTGATGCGGATAGCTACGTATGTCCGCATCCTGACCACCCACAATGCGACCATCGGGCATGGGCACACCGCTCTGAAAAAGGGTGCCAGCCAGTGATAATCCGAAGAGGCACAAGCCGATCAAGATACGAAACATAACTTCTAAGAACTAAAGCGAAATTTTGAGTGCTGTGTGCTTTTATAGAAGGCTTATCATTAGATTAATTCCTTAATCAGCCAATATCAAAGCAATAAGAGAAGTGTCATAAATCTATCTGGAATGTCATGAAGGTTAGTGTGGTGCCTATCTTGCCCTTTTCGATGGTCTGTGGTTGTGATGCGATCACCAAATTTTGCCAAATTTCAAAGGCTGGACGCTATGAAACCTAACGGTCACGCTTAACGATTAACGTCGATAACAAATAATCGAAGTGAGGAAATAACAGCTATCATATTTAAAAACCTATTAATGTTAAGGATAATTCGAAAGATGAATATACACTAATGTACAATGGAAACTTCAATTTAAGTAAATGAGGTTTAAAAAAAAAACATGGAATGGATAAAAAAAAAACAAATCTCTACTATTAAATATTACAGTAAATAATATTTAAAACAATGCATTATGTACTCCAAACTTTTTAGCAGTGTTCTGGACGCGATAATTGAATTCATTTCAAGAAGTTGTCACTTAAGCACTAAGCGTGTACTTATACGATCTAGTGGGTAAGCACCAACGGCCACTTATTGGTCTGATTCATCAATCATATTTATGAGTAAGTACATGTCAGCGTAATCTTTAAATAAACTTATTGAGAACTGGCTATCATATAAAAACACGATATAGTAGCAGTCCAATATTTGTTTATATCGAAACATAAAAATTATATGGGAAACATAAAAATCTTAGCTATAAGCGCTTATCATGGAAGCATTTTTTTTTTTTTGGTGCTTGGGTACTCGGGCCCGATTATAAATCTCGACGCTGGACAACCGGGCGACGACGATTTTAATCTATGGACGAGTTAAGGGTTTTTGGAATAAGATAGCATGAATCGCAGACATCTCAGTGCAGAAGCAAAGTTCATTGCAAATAAAATGAATATGACTCAACGTAATTTAGTGATAATTTTTTGAGGGGTATAGTACTACTTATGCGAAATAATATCAATTATGTGAACTTGTTTGTTTGATTTGTGTTTTCTTTTTTGTGTTCCTTTTTTTTTGTGCTATATCGTAAAAGACTTATCGTAGAGCTTATGGGGCTATGGTTTAATTATGGGTCAGAATTTCTCTTTAGAAGACCACCGACCGCCATGTTTATAATGGATATAAAACATTTGGTCAAATAAACTTTATAATATCGTAGAATTCTCTAATTGAAATCCGTGGGTATTCGTGGATTTCGTGCGATTTCGGGTAAGCAGCGATAAGCACAGCACAGCCCATATATAAAGCCATGGGCCATCCATGAATCAACATTAGAGTCTTTGAATTTGCGTAATGTCGTCGTGTTTTGGATTAATAGTTTTGGGCCTGCTTTCGCTAACGGCCTTGAACAGTGGCGCCTCCATTAGCACCCACATTGTGGGCGGCATCGAGACGGATATTGTGAACTATCCGTATCAGGTGTCGGTGCGTCTGGAAACGTACATGCTGTTGCACATTTGCGGTGGCAGCATCTATGCACCACGTGTGGTATTGACCGCTGCCCATTGCATTAAGGGGCGCTTCGCCTCCTACATACGCATTGTGGCCGGAAAGAATTCCATAGCCGATCTGGATGAGCAGGGCGTGAAGGTCACCAAGCTGATCTATCACAGTGGCTACAATAAGAAGACACATGTGAATGATGTGGGCATGATTATAACCACCGAACCGCTGGCTTACTCCAGTCTAGTGCAGCCGATTGCTTTGGCTGTTGACTCGCCCGCGCCGGGCACTCACGCCATTGTCAGCGGCTGGGGCAAGCGCACCGAGGAGGATGAAGCACTGCCAGCCATGTTGCGTGCGGTTGAAGTTGAAATTATGGACACCAACACCTGTGGCGCCCAGTATCTGACCAAGGATTACACTATCACCGATGAAATGTTGTGCGCGGGCGTTGACGAGGGCGGCAAAGATGCCTGTCAGGGTGATTCCGGTGGTCCATTGACTGTGGATGGCATATTAGTGGGCATTGTATCCTGGGGCGTGGGTTGTGCTCGGGAAGGCTTTCCCGGCGTGTATACAAGTGTCAGGCACCACACCGCTTGGATTGAAGAACAGTCTGCCCCTTATCTATAAGGAGTCGGGCGTTGTGTCGTGTATGCGAGCTGAAAAACGAACAAAATAAGCGAACAAATTAAATTAACATTATAATAAATATAAATATACCAAAATATACTTACATATAAATTGAGCATTACAAAAGTATTTTGAATCTCCAAGCTAATTCAAATGTACACAGTTATTTTTATTTGAGTTAAATTGGCAGCACTGTACTTGCAGTATTTTTACGGTATTTTCATTTTTCACACAGTCACATAGTTTAGATATTTTACGATTGCTGCCACGCGGTCACATTGCCTTCGAGAAAACTCGTGAAGTTACAACAAAAAAGAAAAAAAGAGACAAGAATTAAAATTTTAATATTACTGGATTGTAAACAAGGTATATTACAATTATGTCGCTATTTGGTGCGTTAATGGGCGATTTCGACGATGATCTTGGATTCATGAAGTAAGTTGGCAAATAACCATGTCGATGTTGGTATTCAACTAAGTAGTTGTTGTTTTTGGGGCGTGGAAAATTTACAAGAAAATTCTAAAAGAATAGTGCTCAAATGTACAAAACGAGCCAGACATTGATCCTGAAATTGCTGGTTGTGAGGTTTTCAATTCAAATTCAATTGCTGATTAGGTGCTCCGCTGGGCAGTGCATGCGTTGCGGTGTGTTTGTCAATTTTACACAATACACACAACACAGTTTTTCGTTTTGTGTGCGTGTGTGTGTGTGCGTGAGAGTGACTGAGTGAGTGTTAGTGCGCAGCTTGCCGTCGTTAAAGCAGTCGCAGCAGCAGGAAGAAAAGACAAGCAAGAGGGCCCGCAATTAATCGATATTTTCGATTGCACGCTTGCGGCTGTCAATATAATTAAGATTAGTTTTGCTTGATAGCAAAAACAACAACATATAGGCTTATACGTCATATCATGTTCTAGATTGAAGACATAACGTCATTTCATTTTAATTCCATTCATTATGTCATTTGTGTCTTATTTAAATAGCAACTTAAAATACATTTTTCAATTATTTAATATGCTTTTATTTATTTTTACCTATCATCTTTGCAAAGTAAGCTTGTCACTGATTGAATAATATGTTAAATTAAATATCTCCGAGTCCATTCTGTTAAATATTCTTGAGTTTTAACCATGAAGCCAATATAACCATATCTGTGTGTCTGACCATGCAATTAATTACTTTAATTACTTACTAATTACTTGTTAGGATCGCACCACCTTATCATGTGGCTTATTGCAAATTGAGTTATAAAATATCCAAAATTAAACTGCAGCCATTACAGTTATGATATTTTAACGAGAGTTTTTACAGCTGTTCCAAATAAGTTAACCTGCAACTTTTATTTAGAGTTCTGTTATCGCCAAAAAGGCCATCGTATAAACGTAACTGAGAATTGTAAATGTGAATCGCATAAACAGCAGGCTAACTTTTATATATCAAGTCAGTTTTGACATCCCTGTGCGTCCAGTTATGTTTTCATTTAAAAAGTTTTCAGTTCTTGAAATGTTAAATCAGAAATCATTCGATTTTGTAATTCCTTATTTCGGCGTACTTTATTTGAGTTATGAAACGCAAACGAAATTCAAGCCGCAAGAAAAAAACTGAGACTCAAGAAATGGACACAAAGTTTGTAATTCTCTTGTAAGTTGAACAAAAACTAAATGCGTTTTCTTTGTGTATTCACAGTAATCACATGAACCACCACATGAACGCCATGAATATGCAAATGCGTTCGATGAACCGCTTGATGAACTCTTTTATGCCCGATCCATTCAATATGCTGGGACCATCGCCATTTGATCCTGGCTTTCAGCAGGGCGCATTGATGGAGCGCGGCCAACAGTCTATGGCTCCCATGGGCGGCGGTCTATTTGGATTTCCAGCCATGCCCGGTTTCAATCGTTTGATTAATGCCGGTACGTCTTGATCAGATTTTAAATGGAATTTCTTAACTTGCGCTTTGCACCTACAGATATTGGCGCTAATAATGGCGCATCGTTTTGCCAAAGCACCGTGATGACCATGTCCTCGGGTCCAGATGGACGCCCGCAGATTTATCAGGCTAGCACTAGCACCAAAACCGGACCTGGCGGTGTGCGTGAGACACGCAAGACGGTTCAAGATTCGCGCTCGGGTCTTAAAAAGATGGCCATCGGTCATCATATTGGCGAGCGCGCACACATTATCGAAAAGGAACAGGACTTACGCTCTGGCCAGCTGGAAGAGCGTCAGGAGTTTATAAATTTGGATGAAGAGGAGGCCGAGCAATTCGATCGTGAGTTTACCACTCGCGCCACACGCGGCATCATGCCACATGGAAGTGGCCATGGCGGCCTGCAGGCCATACGCGGCGCTCGCCCAACTGCTGGGGGCTCAACAGTCACCATTGAGCCGCTCGATGACGATGATGACGATTGTGTGATTCAAGAGCCGCCTCGCACAGGCCGTCAATTGCCCGCTTTGCCAGCGCCTCCAACAGCACCGCATAGCAGGTGAGCTTAAGTGGTTTTGATATATCTCCTGTCAGCCGATTGCAGGTTTAACGCGTCGCATTTAGTGAATTGCATTAGATTTGATTGTTTTTAACATTTCGTTCCACTTGACACTCAAGAGCTTTGGCCTTAAACACGCAATGTTTAACACATAAATTAATAAATGGATATGTCTTGTGCCGATGCTAGGTGATAGCTCAGAACAGCGCGGTATTATGGCCGCAATCCAATTTTCGCTGATATACGAAACGGAATTCTTACGTAGGATCTAAAACAATGTTAGGGAACACGCTAAAATCTTGAATATAGAGCTTTTCTATGCTATTTGTTATAAACTCTGTTAAGTTTAGTTATAATTATATTTTATATTGAAAATTTTCATAATCATGATTTTCATCCGTCAGCTTATTAACAGCTGTGCAACATGTTACTTTACAGAGCTCCAGTTACAGTTATTTAAAGGAGCATCAACATATTAGCAAATCCGTTTTTGATTCAACAAATTTCAATATTTTGATTTGTTATTGACTGCAGACGGTTTGCACAAGGCATGTCCATGACACGATCATAACACACTTTTCAGATTAAGGCTGTTTTCCTTTTTGTACCCTTTGTCACAATGCCCGCTAAATTAAAACGTTTGTATTTACTTGCAGATATAATAATTACTAATTCAAGCAAAGTACATACAGTATATTTTACTAATTATATATAAATATGTATACATATATATATATTTATCAGAGTCAAAGAATCCCAATGCAATTGCATATATTAACAAAAATTTCTGCTTTTACATTCCTACTACGTTCAAATACTAAAAGATAAATTAAAAAGAGAACAATTTGAGGTAGGCGGCAAAGCAATTTGTAATTATATAATAATTTTCATCATTTTTCAAATGCAAATCTTTTTTTAGTTAGTTAAATATAATTTTTTAGTTCACTTCATATACCATTAACATACATATTATGCATACACGTAAAGACCCACAACGCGTTACGTTAATGGATTGCAACGTTATTTCCACTACTACTACAAACCGTTTACTACCCATAGTAACACAGCTTAAGTGCCCGAAAGACATTCGCCATATGAGTATTGTTGTAATCTGTTTTAAATTTTCTTCGCATCGATTCCATACGGCGACACCAACAACAACAACAACAGCGACACTCTTGCAGCAGCAGCAGCAGCAACAACAACTTCGCCACGTCGTGCCATTACAACAACAACAACAGCAACGTCTTCGCCCCCAACTCTCGACGTAACAAACAACAACAACAACAACCACTATTTGAGCACCGGAAATATGTCAGCATCGCGTCGCGCCTATATGCGCAATGGTCAGCATTTGGCCACGCCCCGTCGCCCGCTACGTACGCCTTCCTCGTCACCGCTGGCCACCGTATCCAGCGCTAGTCACAGCATTGCCGGCACGCCAAGGTTTGTTCGCATAAGCAAAACAAGACTTCAACAACAGCAACATTCAACCAAATGAAAGATATATATTTCCACAACTAGGCCCCAGAGATCTGCCTAGTTTCCAAATAAAAGGCAACGACATATTCTCTGTTAGCTACCCTAACTGTAATGCATAGATAACTTTATGTTATCATTATGTTAACCTTACGTCATTTGCCTGTTTGCAAAGTTAAGCTTTTAACTACATACTTCGTAAACTATAGAATCGTCGCATATAGAACAATAAAGCGCCGTCTCCGTTAGCTTGCCCTGAACCAATTTTGAACTTTTTCCCAAGAAACCTATGAAATTCTAAATTTATTAAGCCAAAAGTGGAATTTCCTTTATCAATCTTTACCCTTTGTTACGTTACGCTATTTGGCTGTTTACCATTTTGAGCTTTTTCCTACGCTAAGCAATATATGATAAATTGTATATCTTTATTAACAACTTTTCGCTCTGTTTCTCTCTCCTCTCTACCAACATATAAAAATATATATTGCGATTCTAATGCAGAGATTGGCGTTTATATAATTCACGTTTCTATCGCAAGTAGAAATATATATGCATAATATATCATAAACTATAATCCAATACACACATAAATCTATAATATACACACAATTTAATAATTGAGCTACGATCAGCGATATTATTGACGCGCTACGTCCGACTACGTAATCACAACTACCTACTAACCAGTCACGGCGTTTGGCGACGACGCTCCAACTCTTTATTGCTGCGCTCTGCCATGAAAAATCATCGCTGCGACGCCACGCATCATCTACGTTACACATCTGCAACGTCACACACGTCGTTACGTGTCACATGCTACGTGTAAGGCCGCCTGCAAAACCCAAAACAAATAACAGCTATGTACATAAAATCTACTACTACATACATTCTCTATATAGTTATTGTAAAACAAATAAGGCGACGTACACGTAATCAGCATGTTGCGTCACAATTGTCTTATTTGCGTATTACGTAAGCCCTTCACATAAATAACAAAAATAGTATTCCTTCAGTTCCAAGTTGAAGAGCCGCGTGTTGGACACTTATTGTTTGGTTGCCTTTTGACAAATTCCATTACGTTTTTCGTTTACCTCTTACGCATTAAATCATCGTTACGTTACGCTACGCCACGCCACACAACGCTTAATTGGTCAACGTTACTCACATGAATATTCTCTACGTACTACGTGACACAACTACTACGCTTATCAAAATTCTAACGCTGTTGTTGCTGCGGTGCTGCTGCTGCTACGTTTTGTTGTCTTTCGTGGGGGAGACTGCTGCAATAACAAACATTAACTGCGTACCTTTCATATCACGTAACGGTGCGACCGAAACTGCCCGCCCGCCCACTCATCCAGCTTATGCCTCTCTTTGTCATCTGAATAACACACTATCGCCTCGCCTCGCTCTCACAATTTTAAGATTTACGTTCAAATTGGCCTGTGTACGGAATGATTATAATTACTCTATAAATCTCTTACGTTCTCATATTTTTTTTTAACCTATTACGCATTCTTTACGCTGCCAGTTACGTTATGTTATTAATGTGCTCTTCTCTTTAAACAGCATACATCCACATCCCTATGCTGCAAATCCCGCTGCCGCCCGTCGCCAGCAACGTCTAAAGCATCACCACCAACAGTCGAGCGCCACCCGTGGATTGGAGGATGGGAGCGAGCCCCGTGTCAAATCGTCTAAGCGGAATAAACCTCAATAATATGATGTGGGCAAGGATACACACACGCATACCTAACAGCACACACAAGCACACACACACCTAACAGCATACACAGACAGCGTTAGTTTAGCCTCCAATTGCAAAGCGCAAACCTATAGTACATGTTATCGATAAACGATTACAGTCATGCAGACACACACACACACACACATACACACACACACACATACAAATTTCTAATTATATGTTATTATCTTCTATTAGATTCGCGTATCTGCAGTGTGCGCGTTTTCCCCACTTTGTACCAATGATTTTTGGCCAGGCCAAACCAAAAATCAAATTGACTATTTCCATATTTTTAGCGACAACGCGTGTCTTAGTTTTGTATTAAAATATATTTGGCACAGAGCGTGACACGCAGGCTCGCCAATCTGCGATAACATTTTGTAATCAATAGTTTTTCGGACGCCGGGCAACTGTTCACACCCCACACGAACAATATACAAACACTTACAATCCCCACACCCACATCTAAAATGTTAATGAAAATTTTTAGTTGTATTAAAGTTAAAAAAAAAAAGCTCTAATTTTAAGTTGAATCGTTTAAAATATTCTCAAGATTTTAGTTATTTATAGAGCGTAAGCTGAATTCTATACAGAGGAGTGCCAGCTTAAGATCTTGCAGCTGCAAGGATTAAGCCGCCTCCTAAACTATAAAACCAATATTCTTAAGGCATAACTAAATGTTTATGTGAATTTAATTAAACGAAAATACATACACACATAGTAAATTTAAAGCGTAAACAATATGTAACTACTTAATTCATCCTCTCCTATGCCTAAAGTTGGTCTAATCAATCATTTCCATTTGCGTCTCTTCGGACTCTCGCCAATTGCGCTGCACCATTTCCACAAGCTGCTTCCAAAATAGCGTCTGCCGCACGTAGTTGGCCAGGCAGATCAGTATAAATGCCCAAGCCAAGATCAAATAGAAATCTGTCGTCACTGTTGGTACCGAGGCCAGCGGGCCGTCTTTTGCCCATGCCAGAATATAGGGACGTAGGGTCCTTGGATTCACGTACTTGAGGTTCGTGTGGCGCATTATGAAGCTGGGCACGCTGACATTTTCATTACTAGGCGGATCGTACTTGATAAGCGGCCGTCCCTGATGGAATATCATCAGCGTGGGCAGCGATGCAATGCCAAACTCAGCATTGAAACGTGTAAACTCGTAGGCATCAATATAGGCCACTGGCAGCGTTGGAAACAGATGTGGTAAGAGATTGACATATGCCGCCACGCGAGCGCACTCCAAGCTGGTGGGTGTGCAGAAGTGTACTAAAACGCAGCTGCCGGGTTCGTGTCGCTTGGTAGCATTACCTATTGGCTTCAAAAGATTAACAATGTCCTTGGCGCTCTGCATGATAAGCAGCTTGGGCACAGTTACGACGCCAGCTTGCGGCGCTGGATCTGGCTGCAGGCATTTGATCATAAGCGGAGGCTTGCGTTGTTGCGGCAGCTCCGACAGATGCAGTATATGCTCATCATCCGGAAAACAGATGTGTCGATCCTGCATCAATGCATACGACTCAAAGCTGTAGGGGCACTGGCCCCTAGTTACCTTGCCCAGCGCTGCGGATCCTGTGCCGTTCGATTGCAAATTGAGACCAAAGTATTGCAGAATACCCAGCAGACCAGACAGCTCTGCCTGAGCTCGCGCTGCAAACAAGCCTACTTATGCAGATAGAAAACTTGATTGGAGCATAATACACTTTCGTTATAAACTCACCCAAAAATATTAATATTAATAAATTTACATTTGGATGCATTTTTGTTTTGCTTGGAAACAGTGTGGCTGCATGCGTGTAGGGACAAAATACTTTTAAATACTAAATAACTTTAAAGGCAACACTTACTAGATTTTAGGGTGTGCCAGCAGAAAATACCTAAGTTGTACAACATATTGAATACCGAGCACTACGCTGTAAAGCTCATTGCTACGAAACGTGCGCGCTCAAATTAAAAGTATCCTTTTGGTAAACTTTATAAATGAAACGCAAAATTTATGGGACCGCAAGTTGATGCGTTGTTATTGCCAGTCCCTCGACTCAGCAGTGTGGTAATTATGCAGGGTCATAAACACGCACACAGCCCATCTCCACCAAACGCATACAACAGACGCAAAGTTATTCCTACTCAGCACTTTGAGTTAACAATGTATACCCTAACCAAATTTTAAATAGGGTATGCAAATTTGAAAAGCTTGTATTGCTAAAACGTTTGACAGAATCAAGCATAAGACACACTATTTGGTAGGGTAAATTCATGTGTAGATATTAGTGTGTATATATTATGAAGACTTTATATATACTCTATAAATACGGGTATAAAATAGTCAAGTGCACATCAGGCGTGCAGCTTGTTGTTGCTGCTGCTGGAGACCCGGTGTTCATATATTTTCTTTTTCGTTTTTAAAAACGGCAACATCAATTTATCATGCTGAAGTGGTGTCCACATAAGCGGAAGTTGTTCTTCTACAAGCTGCCTGCGCACAGGCCATGCCAGGCGTATGCACAACAACAACAGCAACAGAAATGTGCGACCTTTTGTGGCTTTCTTTTTGAGGGGCGTGCGGTGGGGTCGCTTGGCTTGGGGTGTCACAACTATTTTCAACATTGTGCACACATTTCATTCATTGAGTGCATGTTGAGCATATTTACAACTAGTTACAGAACGATGATGATGACGCCGACAAGCCAACTGTGCTGTTAAAAGGCACTTTATGCGCATTTATGAGATTTTATGGGGCCCATCTTAAAACGTCAGTAGTGTTCCTGTTTCTTATACCCTATGCGGATTAAACAACAGTAAAATGGGAATAAAGCTGTACTGTCCCAACTGTTCTCCCAAATCGATAAATATCGATTGACAAGGCTCCTGTTTTCAGCATTTATAATATAACAAATGTTGATGTGTAGAATCTCGTATACCCTAATTGATAAATATATAAACTGTTTTCAACTAAAGGGCATACACAAGTCAGAAACTCTGGACTAATTTCTTTTCAAAATGCTTTTATTCTGAGTGAAAATGCGTTGATAATTATCATCTTGGGGGCAGTTGCGTGGAGCGGCGGCAACGGCATTTGCAATCAAATGAATTCAATTGAAAATTTTTGCCATTCACTTCGATGCCTAGTTATTTACAACTTGAATTTGAGCAGAGTCTGTGGGCGGTCTGAGCGTGGGCTGTCGGCCAAATCGGAAGTATTTCTGGTGTCTGCATCGTTGCGAGCTCCGAGGGGTTGCCCGGGGCCAGTCGCCAAGTCGAAGACCAAGTCGTCGAACTTCTTGCAGGGCCAGGCACTCGATATGTGACGCTGACGACGGCAACAACACCAACAACAAAGCTGGCTGCGCTTTTCTTCAACTGATAAAGATAAGACCAAGGAGTTGAGTGCTCTCTGCAAGAGTCTTGAGGCAAACTTTTGCCAGCCTTTGCGGTTGCTGCTGCCGGCTGCCGGCTGCCGCTGCTCAAGTTGGCCAGCATTTTGTGACAATTTATTTTCTATGCTTTGGCGTTTGCTTTCAACAAATCGAAAAACTATTAAATTGGGCTGTGAGCCAAAACGACAACAAAAATAAAAAGAATCCAGTGTGAACAGCCGAAGCTTCAATACCCTAACCGTCAGCTGCAGTCCGCTTCCACGCGCTCAGCATTCGCATTACTTGTTCGATAAATCGATAAATTATGCAGAGCTGTCAAATAGTCCAGATATCGGCTTATTAGACTAGTTTAATATAAATGCCTATCGTTGGAGTTTTAACAGTACAAACTAAAGGTTTATATGCTGACTGACGAACATATTGCTAGTCCGATAACTAATCGATAATTGCGATGAAGTTAGTCCGTTAACTAATCGATAATTGCAATGGAGTTGCCACATCTCCGAGATAAATAAATATTTCACTAAGCTTTAGACTGCTTTGCATATGAAATGTATCCGCTGCAAGGGTATTTCGACAAAAGTCTTGCACGCTGTTCGCAGCTAGAACATTTCACTGGCTGACAGTCACGCGATTTCGCCATGGTTTGGCACATTTGATATCCACTGAAACTTTTCACCTTTGCACGCCGCTGACAGGGCGTCGACGACGTCTGCTTAATTGGATAGGAAATGGCAGAGTTTGGTCAAGGCAGCGGGCCAGCTGCGATACGATCTCTAAACGAACCAAGTGGATACGATGAAAGTGTTATAAAGCATACAAAAAAATGAACCATTTTAAGTTGATTGCCCATTTAAAACATTTCTCACATTTATAGCCTAAGCAATATTGGTACTATTTTACCTTTTACAATCGATACGAATTGATGAGCAACCTCCGTTTAAAACCCATTTATGTAGCATATCTTTAAGGTTATAGCACAGATCAATTTAAGAGGTATAGTCTGTACTTATGTTGCATTCACATATTTGAGTGCTATCTTTAAGTTTCAAGTTTTATAACATTTGGGCAATAAAGACAAAAGATTTTAAAAGTCAATTTTCTAAAAGTAAACGCTGTCAAAATATATATAGACTATAGGGTATTTGGTATAGGGTATTTTTTAGTTTAGAACCAAAAGCTAGACGCTACTCACCTCTAATGTCTGGACACATCCTCAATTGCCAGCGCCGCAGTCGCAGTTGGTCAACAGCCTTGCGCACACATTAACAACCGGCGGCACATACAACTATTTGTATATCTATAAATATGGGTGTGCTATAAAAAAAATATAAATAAAAAATAAATAAAAGATAAAACTGTTCATTGAAATGGGCTGCCTGACAACGCTGAGAGTCTGCTGAAGGCGAACACTAAACTAATTAAAACTTTTAGGTTTTTTGGGCTCCGGCTAAGCCATATGGCTGGCAATGGGTTCGACTTGAGGCTACCGGAACCTGGCATAAATTACGCATTGAAATCACGTAAATGCTGGCAAATTTAATCAGCCTGACATCACAGTGCGGCTGGTTACTAAGCAAAAATTAAATCTAACAACATAACCAAATAAGGACACAAAAAATCCACAAAAAAAAAAAGAAATCCAATAAAAAAATAAATTGTTAGTGTCAAACGTACAAAAAATTTGCACACAGCTACGTGACTTCAATTTCTCACTCAGCCGCAGCTCCGTACCTTTCCTAGATTGCCCACAAAGGTGTCTCTCTCTCTCTCTCTCTCTCTCTCTCTCTCTCTCTCTCTCTCTCTCTCTCTCTGTGTGTGTGTGTGTTAGGGTGTTGTGTTTTTTTGGTTTAGCTTTGCCTGCCTCTGCCGAACTTTTAATCCTTTGCACTTTTGTCAATGTCAGTCGGGTGGGCCAATGACAAACACGAAAGCAAACTGGATCAACCAAAAAAAGAAAAAAAACACAGGAAAGATACCATCGAAAGGATGTTTATGTTTATATACCCTTACCATAGGAAGTACTCAATTGATCAGCCAGTCTATAAGCACTTGTTCTTTAACTTTTTTGTTTGTTTGACGACTGCCTATTGTAAAATAAATCATTTGATTTGAATGGTTTCTATGAGATCCATACTATAAATGCGAGAACTTAGAATACCAGATACTTTGATTAATAAAAAACAAAAACTTGATTTCAAATCCTATAAGTCTGAATAATTTATTTATTATTAATGTTGCTTTGGAAAAATGTTCAAGGCACTAGCCCAAAAATGTTGTTGAATAAAGGTAGTTCAAAGGATTCCTATTTTTGAACTTTCTTTATGATATATGATATTCGACTTAAAGCAATGGGTATATTAATAGTGTATATCATTAAAGTAAGTGAACAAGTGAATTAATTTTGTGTATAATGCAAATGTTATTTAGAAATATTTCTAAGCTTCAACAATAGAGTATTCAAGAATCTCAGAATTATATGTCTGATAAGATGTTTGTAGGCAAATCCCTTTAGAGTGTGTCACATAGCATGCTTCTACGTATTCTCTAATAGTTTCCAACACAATGACATTTCAGTTTGGAAAACAAACAAAAAAAAAAAAAAGGGAGCAGCCAATAAAATTAATTGATTTTGAGGTTTTCCATTTGCCGTGTGCAAAGCGATTTTGATTTTAAGTCCCGACAGTTAGCCGCGGTTGACAGAGACTATTGGGTCAGCGCTTTTTCAAAGAGTCTTAAAGCTTTTTACCAAAATGTACAGTGTACAATTTAAAATGTAATATTCGTAATAGTTCGTGTAGCAATTAAATTAAATGACCGCAAACAGCAGAGTGTGACCGCATTCGGTTATGCTAGCAATGCCAAAAATGTTTGTTCAAATATCAAATTGCAACCGCAAAAGCTGGCAAAAGTTGTTGCCAGATTTTTTGGTTAGAAAGTTGTCAACGTATTTGGCCTTGCTTATGAAAAAGCTAAGAAAGCTAGTTTCTGGTAATTGCCTATATTTATTTATTTAATGCTATCCTCTTTCTTCAACATGTATCAACTTTTAGCATGCCTATTTACAGATTCATTGTGACTTTGACAGGCATTTCAACTGGATTAGGCACAATTTCGACGGGTGCGAATAAGCGTCAATTGAATGGGAATGTTGCCCCCTTTATCCATGGTGCGCCCCTTGCCGCAAAAGCCGTTTTCTACGCCGCTCGCATTATCAATTATGCGTTCGCATTGCGTCCCGTGTCCGAGCCCTGTAAACTTGGCAATTTATTTGCACCGGAAACTCAACATAAATCAAACTAATTTCTCCAGGGATTTTTGAACAACTTTCGACGTGTCGCTTGGCTGCTGTCCTTGTCTCTCTCTCTATGTGTGTGTGTGTGTGTGTGTGTGTTTGTGTGTGTATACCTCACTTTGTGCCCGGCTGTTGTTGCCTTTGCTGTTGTTGGGCACGTGTTTGGGGCATAGCAAATTGAATTTGTCGCGCCATGTTGCATAATTTGGGGCCCATTGTGCGTCTAATTGGCCAAAATGTTGGCGAACAACAAGGAGCTCGAGAGCTCCTTGAAATCTTGACATTTGGCTGTTCAAATTATCTATGCCATACGTATGCCAGTCTAGACTCTAGTCATTGATTATGAAGAATATTTCAGCCATGTCTGCAATAACTTATTGTACAGTTGCCTTAATCCCTTGGGCATGGCTATGAGAGGATGATGCAAACGAAATGCTGCTGTTGTCAGCTCGACTTTATTTAAACAAATATATCTTTTCCATAGCCATAAATACTTGACTCGCATTATTTTGTCGTTCTATTACGCTGCAATAAATGGTTAGGTTGTAGATATTCACCGAAAAATTCAAAAGATTTTCCTAGATATTTTATTATATTTATATTACTTTTAGTGTACTTTGGGTCCATTTATGCTTGTCTCTTTCTGCTTGAACAACTTTACTCTATCCGATTACCCCAAAAATCAGATATAAATTTATTTTAATCGTACACGCACACATGCTCAGTAGTCTGCCACAACGAAATATTCCCAAAATTTCCAGTTTTTAAGCAAAATGTTTGACTTGTCGCAAAATGTGGAGAAAGCGGCCATTGAGCCGAGCCTGCCGAAGGTTGCTTTGGGCGAGTATCGTGGCGGTAATCAGCTGCCCATATGGGACATAGCCGAGAAGGACTTTCAAATGAAGAAACAGGATTCGCTGGTGCCACTGGTGCTGCAGTTTTGGGAGGAAAATGATGCCACTGATCTGGTGCTGAAACTGGGCACAAAGCAGATATGCGTTAATCGGCTGCGTTTCATGTGCCAATCGAAGTTCATCAAGGACAATCTGACGGGTGGACAGCGTGAGTTGGTATTACCCGAGGATCGGGTGCCGGCTGAGGGACTGGTGCGCGTTTGCGATTGGATAAATAAGCCCGATCCGAAGCTGGAGCGCAGGCATATAATGCAAGTGCTGGCGGCAGCCATATACCTCGAGATCGAGCCGCTGGTCAAGCAGGTGTGGTTCTGTCTGGATCTCGTTGACGATTTTCGCGAGGATCAGGCCTTTGTGGTATCCTTTGAGGCGCTGAACCTGGGCAATAAGCTGCCCTTGCTGGGCCTAGACACCACCATGCTGCTTCGCATTCAATGCTTCTTTCTCACCCTGGTCGCCAGCGTTGAGTTTGTGAAACTGCCGCTGCAGCATGTCCGTTGCCTGCTCAGCTCTGAGAATGTGGCGGTCAACAGCGAGAAGGAGATCTTCTTTTCCGCCGTGCGCTGGCTCAACCACGACTGGGCGGCACGGGCTAAACACACCTTGGAGATCATGGAGACGGTGCGTCTTCTGTTGCTGCCCCGCACATTTATCATGGAGCTGCAGGCGCCCACAGACGAGCCCTCGCTCAATTGCATCATCGAGATGGTCGAATTCCAGCAGATCATCTACGAAGCCTAGTAAGTATTCCTTCACATGTAGCTTGCTTAAGATTTGACTAACACTGTTTTTTCCAACAGCTCGGCCTACACCATGTTGATCTTCAACGATGGCTCCGAGCTATTTGGACAGCTATACGATATATTTAAGGTAGAGGTGCCTGTGCGACGGCCTTTCATTTGCCACAAAGAGTGCACCTATCACAGGGCACATCCCGACGATCCATCTGATGATTTTACGTACAAACATTTTCTATGTTATTTGCGTTTGCTGCAAACCAGCGGCGCATATACCTGGAAGGGCCTGCAGGTGCAGCATATTACCTGCCCCTATAAGCCGCTCTGAAATCTAGACTACCATTTTCTGCTAAGTGCAGCAAGACAATTTGCATGTTTCTCTTCAATCTTGAGAAATTTTATAATATAGAATATAAGCGATTATTTGTATGACTTTTTAAATATATTAAAATGATATATTCAGAAAGCGATGTTTTATTTACAAATGGCGTAGAATTAGGAATATTGCGAACACAAGACCTAAAAACTCTCGATCAGTAAGGGAGATGAGAATAGATGTTAGATGTGTGCTGTAAAGCAGCACGAACATTTGTTTCAAACTTTGCAACACTGATTTATATGATTATGCTGAGTGCTGCATAACCCAACAGACATTTTGCAGCGCATGAGAATTTGTGTTTTAATTTGAAATACAACTCTTAACACATTTTTCCGAGTTTTACTACACTGACGATTTGTGTGTTCCCATTGTGATTGATACTGTTAGCGATAACTATTGTAAACTTTTATCGTGTGAATTAATTTGAAATATTTTTGTAAATTTGATCTACAAACATTTATGAAGCACATAAAACCCAACTGCTGGAATTTGTACATGACATTCTACACTTTTGGCAAAGTTTGTCACGATATACATACATACACACTATGTGCTAAGTATGTAGGTGTAGCTGCTTGTTCTGCAGCTTTTTGTAATTTTCAAAACAATTTCCTCATCAGCCCCAACAGCAACAGCAATAGCAACAGCAACAGCATGAACAACGAAAAAACATGGGGAATAAGTGCAACCACATCGTCAACATCGTCATCTCGTCGCCTGTTTTGGTTTCAATGCTCGCGGCGTTGCTTGTGCGCTAACCACGCCCATAACCGCCCCCCGCTGTGTCATCCTGCCACCAGAATGCCTGCAGCAAACTACTCATATCTGCTGCTGTGACCGAAACCACCTGGCGCCAAACCACCTGCCCCGTTGTTGGCAAATTGAAAATGTTGTGCGGCCAAGGAAAAGATGTCTGCAAAGTTGCGCAAGCGAGATTGCTGGCAAATGTTGCTGCTGCTGTTGCCGTTGTTGTTGCCGGAGTTGTTGTTGTTGTATTGTTTGGCCTAATGATGCTCAGCTAATAAATGCACTGCCAGCAATGCAGCAATGCAGCTTAGGCTAACGAAAGCCGCCTATACCAAATCATTTGCATAATTATGTAAGGCAAAAGTAGCTTTAAGCCGCTTGCAAATAGTTTAAGATTCGGCCGAGCAAAATTCCAAAAGCGAGACAGCAGCTCACCAGCTTTAGGCTGAGCATGCTCCTAATACCATTTTAATAGACATAACAAATTTAAGCTATTTTAGCCGCTAGCAATATGTATTATATTTGTACATTCTTTTGGGTTCTTTATCTAAAGGACTTCTGAAATTAGGCCTTATATCACATTTTAATGCAATATTACATTTCTATTGTTATTTTATTTTTTTTTAAAACGCATTAGCTTAAAATTAATGCTTTCCGCCTCGCTCTCTCTACCTTATCCTCTCATTTCCTAACTGTATCGCCAAGTGCAAAGGTGGTAAAGGTAAAAGTAAAGGCTTTTCATTTTATTTCAGGCTTACTTTAATCTATATCTATGTATATTTTGACTCAATAACAGGGCATGCTTGGCTACAGTTATTTTTCTATGGCTTTTATGCCAAAGAAAATCAAATTTTCATTTGTTACATTTTATTCGGTTCTAGATAACTTTTATTTAGGTCGATTTGAAATTATGTTGTGTGCAAAAAACATTGTTAACTAAGCATTCAAAGAAATGTGTGCAATAATTCAAAAAGAAAATGTCAAATATACGCAACAATTAAACTGCTTTAAGCTCTGAAGCTTAAAGTATGTTTTCTTTTCTGTTTTAACCCTTTTTATAGCATTTTCAATTTCAACGATTCTAAACCAAAACTAAAAATCCTTTAATTAATGCTAGGCAAAATATTCGCTCAATAGTTAGCTTTCGAATTTGGGTATGCTAATGCATATTTCAAAAGATTTCGAAATACTTGAGTGCCAGGTATTCTTCAATCTATTGGAGTTGCGCTCTAAGCGCTTATCATAGATCTAATTAATTAATTTTTTTGATTACTTTTGCATTAATTAAATGCCCTCTGGCAGGAGACCCCTGCCACTAGCGGGGCTTGTCTGCCGCACTTCGGGCCCTTTTGGGCACTTCTGCGCATAATAAATACCAAAATGAAATTGCGCGTGAAACAATGCATTTCCGGTTGTTCAGGACAGCGTTCACATTCACATTCACATTCACATTCATATACCCCATTCACATGCCCCATTCACATAGCTCCCAATTCACATTCACATACCCCATTCACATTGCATTGGCGTTGCTTCCGCTTCAACTTTTTTCGCGCCCCGGCTTCGATAACGATTCACACGCCCAGCTGTAAATGTGTTAGTGTGTGCGTGTGTGTATGTGTGTGTGTGTGTGTGGGGGGGGGGGGGAGGGAGGTAGCGGCTGTGCTGCTGTAAGTCCTCCTAACGCCTCAGCATTGGAAACTGTTGAAATTGTTGCCTGCTTTATGTTGTCATTCCATTAATTATCGCTCGTTATTTTAACTTTTAGCATAGAGTACAGCATTTTCTCTCCCCCTGCCCCCGTTTCTTTTTTTGCCATTGTGCGCCGTCTGCACTTTACAAATACTTCATAACATTTGACAAGCTTTTCTTTCTCTTTTTTCTCTTTTTCCTTTTTGCTGGATATCCTTTTTTTCTGTATTTTGTGTTGCCAACGCCTTTTGTTTGCACATTAAATGGCGTCGGTGGCGGCCATGCGAATTGTTGTGTATATGTGTGTGTGTGTGTGTGTGTGTGTGTGTGTGTGGTCGGGGTAATGAATTACTAGCCACATGGTTTTTGTGCACCACCGCCCGCTGTCTCTCGCAACAATGACATTGCAATTTTTAGCCAACGCCAACAATGTCAGGGACAGCCGCAAGTGGGGAAGGGGGGGGGGGGGGGGATAGTGGTGTGAGTGCGGGAGCGGGGTGGTGGAGGGAGAAAGGCAGACACGTCTACGAACGAAGCCCGGGGCATAGGCTGCCAGAAATTATGCGGCTTTAATTGCTCGCAAATTGTTATATGGCTGCAGCAGTTTTAAAGGAAATGAAAACTTATTTTGTATGACTAAGTTATCGAATCGACCTAGCGATAAATTTTCAATATTTGTATAAGCAGTAGATATTAACCCAGAATTTGATGACAACTATTAAACATGGTCAAATCGAACTTGATTAAAATCCCTTTAAACTTAATTTATCACTCATTTCATCGATTGTATTAACTGTTACAAGTTATCGATCAGTTACAGTCGAGAGAGATGTCACTATGGAATATTACTGCCAGCTGGCAGATGGTGCTTCTTAATATATATGTTGGAAGTACATTAGAAATAAAAACATTTTTTAAAATATTTTAAAGAAATAGCTTAAACATTTTGAGATATGCCTAAAGTTTTATTTATATGGAAGTATAGAACAAAAAGGCAGCTCTCAATTAAATGCGGAATAGTTAGGTCAGAAAAGCATTAAGGACGCTTCGAAATGGGAAAGCTCATAAAAAGAAAAAGTCTAAAATTATTACAGTAAATACTTTTCAATTTTAATTAAATAATCTAATTTATAAATATAAAATTCTATAGAAACGTATTGTAGATATATATGAAAGAAAAGCTGCCATCAGTAAAATCTTTGTCAGCCTTTTCATATATATTCCAATCATCCGAAAATACCCGCCTATATGCGAACTATGGAACGGGCCGCACAATTATTTGTTTTATGAGTTGTTAACAATCGATTGAATGTATTTTTTGCAGTCATTAGTCTATTGCTACAAGCGGGATTTATGTTGCCTGTGGGCGGTGCCACGCCCAGCAATAGGAGCAGGCGTATAATAAATCATGTTGTTGTACCTATTGAGGCATAGAGGCACACACACACACACACACACAGGCAGCAGCTACTTTGATTCATTGCATCTGGGCAGCAGAGCATGAGCCTCGGTAGGGAGGCAGCGCAGAGTTTAACCGGATGATAAATAATAAGCAACAAAGGCTGACAGCAACAATCACAGATGCTCGTTGGATGTCTACATTTTGTAGCTGTTTAACAAATAAATAAAATGAAAAAATGGAAACAAAACAAATTAACCATAGACCCAGGTCGGGGCAGGTAGGTCACGTGCGGTATGTCTGTTAGTTTGACCTGCGACTTAACCTTTTCATTTATCAATCGCCATTGGGCAACAGACAATTCAATACATTAATTTAATTTGCCCACTTCAAGTGCTTTGACATTTAGTAACAGCCTCACAATATCATCAAACATCAGACAATGGTCCGCCCCTCGCCTCGTGTCCCTCGCACTGTACCCTCCTCTGGTATTCTGTGTTGTGGCATTTATCTCGATCGACCTGAGTGACACTTTTTGTACCGCACCAAATTCAATTTGCTTTATTGATAACACACACAATGAAAGCCAATACAAAACAGTTATAACAAACTTATTGTACATTTATGGTGCAAATACAACGACTCTTTGATGCGCTACCCAAGCGCTTACATATTTTTATAATAACAATTTCTTGGCGTTAAATGTTGTTTCTTTCTGTTTTGCCAACTAATTACATTTTTTCTTTTTTTTTTTTTAATGTTCAGTCTTACACGTAGAAATTTGTTTTAATTTTTTTTTTGTGCAAAACGGGCTAAAACATAATATATATATTTATATATATAAAGAAACTTTATATCAAAATTTCTATCAGATTAATATTAATTTACTTTTAAGCTTTTCATCACAAGCCCAAATACTTGATATATTGCATATACTCTTTTATTACACACATTTTGTACATTGTACACCCAAATAAAGAAAAGGTTTAGAAATCTACAAGAAAAAGGAAACACCAAAGTTTCTAGTCTTTATCTTAAATATTAATTACGTTAAGTTCTTCCATGGAATGAAGTTAACTTTGCTAGCGTACAGACATGAAACCACAAAACATTTTATTTTATGTCCATGCACTTGATATATTGCATATACCCCTTTATTAGTGTACACACAAGAAAAGAAAATGTTTGGATATATACAAGAAAAAAGGAACACAGATTCGCG